ACATGACCCCACCTCTGATGTTTTTGGAGGTTTGTGTTTGCTCTGTTCCCAATTTGTATTGTTTAATTGGACTATGAGCTTGAATACTGTTCTTTACTGAGAGTATATCTATATTTCATGTAGGTCATTGTTGACAAATCAGCTGACAACGATTTTTTGTAGGTTTTCATTTTTGATGGCTTTAGCGTTCTCTGAAAATCTTGATATCCATATCTCTTCCCCATGTAAATGAACAGACTTGTGTAACTCTTAAAAGGTTAGCTTACAGTCACAGCAGGCCTTCAAGTGGTTTTTTGGACCAAATGTAGGACTTTTTACACTAAAGGTCCAATTTCTTGAAAACAGGGTAAAATGCCCCCCCCCCTCCCAAAAAAGAAAAAAAAAGGAAATTAAAGGGATAATTACAGTAACACTCAATGTCACCCTTTCTACTTAAAATACTATATAGAACACATTAAATCAAAAGTCAAAGATGATTATACCAGTGTCAATTGCTAAATGTGTCCATGAAATGATAAACGAATAATAGCATGTTTCTATAAACATTATAAAAAAAAAGACTGAATTTTATTAAATCTACAGGATTACAGGTACATGTTTTACAATACTCCTCAAGATTTTCAAAAAAAAGGAACACATGCACACCAAATAAATTAAAATAAATAAATATTTTTTTAGTTTCAACCAATTAATGTTATTTGATAGATCTAATATAGGGAAAGGTCCATTTCCAAAATATAGGGATTATAGGGCATTTTCACAGAGATAGGGACTTAAAAGCAAATTTACATTGTACTCTTAGATTCTTAGCCATTTAGAAGTTGTCACTTTATCATTAGATCAGAGCATGTTAAATTGTTCCAGATCATGTCATTACCAATTGACATTGTACATTCTATAGTGTCAAGAGACCCACATGATGTAGCTAGTCTTGTGCTGAAAACCACTTAACACCAGACTCAGAAATCAATAACACACTGGACATCTAAGTACTTAAATTCATTGCATTAATAACTGATAGATAATTAACAAATGATCCTTAATGACATGATAAATGTGCTGAACTTCATAATTCACTTGCAGAGGACATCAGTTCACCTCATTTCTTAAAACAAAATATACTATTTTAAGTCATCTATAAATATGTATTTTGTAACAACATGAAAATATTGATTTACTTGTACCATGTGTACTGTACACCTTCAAATTTTAACAATATATGAAAGTATATTTAGAAATCTCCTGGATTCAGTAGAAAAATGATTCTTCTGACAATCCACACCTAAACTATTCTTTAAACTGATCTTGGACAATAGAACCAATTAAGAAGGAGGAAAAAAAGAATGCTCAACAGTTTTATCCTGCTGTAATAAAATTAAGTCATTGAAATACACCCTCCCAAGGCCAACCCTCTTGTAAACTTTTAATGCAAACTGTCTTTCAGTTTTGAACTGTCTTTCAGTTTTGGGTTTAGCTGAGGTAATCCAATCAATAAATTCTTACCACAGACCCTATTTTGCCCCCAAACAAGAGGCCCATGGGCCTTGAATCGCTCTTCTGATAACCTGTGCAACCTATCACTTCTATTTGAACCTTCGAAGTATCCTGTATATTTAGATAAACCCTTGAAATTCCAATTCACACTCTGAGAACCCAAGATGATTCTAAGCCAATTAGTACCTGAGAGTTGGTCATGGTGACCTACTTATCACTTGTCATTCTCTAATGACCCATCAACTAAGTTTGATGATTCTAAGCCAATTAATACCTAAAATATTTCTTAAAATTATAACCATAAAATTTTATAAGTAGGTCAAAGTGACCTACTTTTCAATTGTTGTACTCCAAGGACCCAAGATGCATCAATTGACAAAGTTTGATGATTTTAAGCCAATTAGTACCTGAAATATTTAATTAAAGCCATAAATTTTCAAAAGTAGGTCACGGTGACCTACTTTTCAGTTGCTGTACTCCGAGGACCAAAGATACATCGACTGACAAAGTTTGATGATTCTAAGCCAATAAATACCCAAAATATTTAATTAAAGCCATAAATTTTCAAAAGTAGGTCACAGTGACCTACTTTTCAGTCAATCTACTCCCAAAGATGCATCAACTGACAAATTTTGATGATTCTAAGGCAAATAATTCCTGAAAATATTAAATACAGCCATAAAATTTCAAAAGTAGGTCACCGTGACCTACTTTTCAGTTGTCGTACTCCTAGGACCCAAGATGCATCAACTGACAAAGTTTGATGATTCTAAGCCAATAAGTACCCAAAATATTTAATTAAAGCCCTAAATTTTTAAAAGTAGGTCACCGTAACCTACTTTTCAGTTGCTGTACTCCGAGGACCCAAGACGCATCAATTGACAAAGTTTAATGATTCTAAGCCAATTAGTACCCGAAATATTTAATTAAAGCCATAAATTTTCAAAAGTAGGTCACCATGACCTACTTTTCAGTTGTTGCACTCCAAGGACTCAAGACACATGAACTGACAAAGTTTTATGATTCTAAGCCAATTAGTACCCGAAATATTTAATTAAAGCCATAAATTTTTGCAAGTAGGTCACGGTGACCTACTTTTTAGTCAACCTTCTCCGAAGACCCAAAAGTCATCAACTGACAAAGTTTGATGATTCTAAGCCAATTAGTACCCCATATATTTAATTAAAGCTAAAAATTTTCAAAAGTAGGTCATGGTGACCTACTTTTTTAGTCGACCTACTCCAAAGACCCAAGATGCATCAACTGACAAAGTTTGATGATTCTAAGCCAATTAATACCTGAAATATTAAATTATAGTCATATAAATTGAAAAGTAGGTCACGATGACCTACTTTTCAGTTGACCTTTTTGAGGACCCAAGATGCATCATCTTACAAAGTTTTATGATCATAGAACTTAAAATGTCCAAATTATGCCTCTAAAATGCTTTGAAATCAAATGCCTGCAAAGTTCAAAAAGTAGGTCACTGTGACCTACTTTTTAATAAATATGTCTTATGGCCCCAAGATGCATCATCTTACAAGATTTAATGATTCTAAACCTCTCGGTATTCAAATTAATGACCTTAATTGTTTTGAAAAAGATAAGCCATAAAATTCAAAAAGTAGGTCAAGGTGACCTACTTTTTAGTTGATGTACTTTGAGGACCCAAGATACATCAACTGACAAAGTTTGATGATCATAAGCCTTAAATTGTTCAAAATATGCCTCTAAATAATTTTGAAAAAGAATGGCCGCAAAATTTAAAAAGTAGGTCACCGTGACCTACTTTTGAGTCAACATGATATGAGGTCCTTAGATACATCAACTGACAAGATTTGATGATCCTAGTCCTTATAGTAAGCAAAATATCAACATTTTAATAAAATGTAATTTTTGGTCAACTTTGAAGTGACCTTGAGACCACGCCCTTTGCCCCAGGGTAAATCCCCGTGCAAATTTTAATCTACAACATATCCTCATCCTTTTGTGTAAGTTTGGTTATAATCTGCCCAGTGGTTCTTGAGAAGAAGATTTTTTAGCAACCAGTACTTTTGTTTCTATTTTCCTAATTATCTCCCCTTGTTAAAGGGTCACAACCCCAGTTTTAGTATAAAAGGGAGCCCTTGGGCCAAGGATACCTTGTGACAAATTTGACAATAATTGGCCAAGGGGTTCAGGAGTTATGGCCCATATTCTAAAAAGTTTACGCACACCGCACGCCGCACACCGCACAAATGGCCATAGCATTAGCTCTTTGAGCCTTTGGCTCAGAAGAGCTAAAAATGTAACATAAAAATTTTGAAACATCCTACAGACAGTCAAAAATGGATAATAAAGGTCACAACTTCTGTCTTCATGACACATAAATATGTAGAAAAATGAAAATTCTTATTGTTAAAGCCATTAACTTAAAAATGATACTTTTTTTTTTTTTTTTTTTTTTTTTTTTTTACATATTTATTTGCAAGGTAAGAAATAAATGACTCGCTAAGCTGAGCCATCTACAAGAACAACAATAAGCTCTTCTTTGGAGAAGGCTTTTCTTGAATTTATTACATCACTTTATACTCTTTGTAAAACAAAAAGAACATCAATGAAATACATGTATATATAATTTATATTTGATGCCAAGGGACTTATGACCAGATAACATGATGACAATGACCAAAGGTCATTTGAACAAAGGGACAGGAAATGCATATTTCATGTCTGGGTCCCCACCTGTATATCTCAATTTATAATATCTCCTTCAGAAATAGGATGTGGCCTTCGTTTTGAAGTCCCCTTTACTGAAGGGTGCTTTGTGGCAAGTTTGGTTGAAACTGGCCAAGTGGGTCTGGAGATAGGGACTTAAAAATGTGAAAAGTTTTATATATACATGTGATGATGTGAATAGTAAATACATACAGATCTACATTCATCTGACAGTCATAGAACTGAAAAGCTTTCTTGAGTCTATAGCTTAAAGTGATGAGCTTGAATATAATTTTTCAAAACATTCACTAATTTGAATATAACCCACACAAGGTATTAGTCCTATTTAAACAGGTATATTTCAAACTGGGATATAAACATGTATATATATATATATATATATGTATGTATGTATGTATATATATATATATATATATATATATATATATATATATATATATATATATATATATATATATATATATATATATATATATGGAATCTCCCATGGTTTGTGGTTAAATACAACTTTTTATCCGAGTTGTATGTTTTTATCCCCAAGCCTTGGCAGTTCTAGGAAATATAAAATTCTCTGCCTATTTCCTTGTATTTCTTTGAAGATTGCAATAAAAAAAAAAGATTTCAAGAGAACAATGGTTCCAAAGAGATTAATTTGTTCTGCAAGCAAGACTACGTAAAAGACAAGAAGCCCTTCTTATAAAACTGTGATGGATAAGGCTTTACAATACAAGATTGCATTGTCTTTGTGTGGTTAAGCTAATAGACAATGTCAAAATTAAATTACTTACCAGGAATGGTGAAAAGTATGATTAGAATAATCAGGTTTGTTGCAGACATCCATTTTACACATGAAATGTCCCTGGAATTTGAGATCATTGTACACATCCTAGCCCATAATGCTTGTGGTCAGCATGTAATGATGGACGAAATCTGCAAACAAACATACACATTAAGATAGTAGGGCTGAAACAATTCACCGAAATCTCGATATTGTTCAATATTACTGCTCAGTTCAATGTTTGATTCACTATCTCGATTTTCGGTTTGGTACTTTTTTTATAATCGGGTTTGGTTACTCCTTGAAATAGATCGGGTTCGACCTCAATTTAATAGTTTAACACACACGGGGGAGAAAATTGTGAAGGAGAAAGTTTCAGAGCAGGCTGCCACTGCTAGTATTGACACAAACAAAGTGCTCTTTTAATCTACAGAAGCACAAGTAGTGCTCTTTATTGTATCACCACCTTTTACTTGCCTTTTGAAATCTGAATACATGTTTTCTTTAACCTTATGATTTTTTTTCTTTTTTAAAATGTATCGTATTGAAAAAATTGAATTGTGACACAAGTATCATGATACGTACCACATCATGGAAGGGGCATATCATTTCAGCCCTATAAGTTAGATGTCATTTTTTACATGGAAACTTATACAATTGCTTGTACTGGTAGATATAGATATCAAATATTGAAATTTGAGCTAAGATAAATATATTACAGCATCAGTAGATTAACAATCTGTAATTAAAAGCACTTTTTAATTTTTTCTCATGTATATTTTTATTAGCAGTAGTAATTATAGTAAAGTATTAGATTATATACAGCAGTAATCATATTTCATGAAAATTTTGTCCCGCTTATAAGCACAAACTATAAAGTACCTATCCCGCAAAGATAAGAACTCACCAAAAATTCATTATCTACGGTATATGAATATGTTATCTATAAGTATCTATCAAATGAATGTTAACAGCCCCGTTTAAGGGTGAAACGTTTACTGATTTTTGTAAATGTTTAAACGAACAGCAGTAAACGAAACGTTACCGTTTAAATGGGAGAATATTTTGTGTTGAATTTTTATGGTTACTTACTCATGAAACACTAATTTAATACTCTATTCTTTCACTATATTAATGTAAGTATGAGTTGTTATAACTATTTATTTGTTGGTTTTTTATGACGAAAGAATATGAAGTGCATAAAACTCATTCACTTTCTAAACCGTCACCCAATATTGCATTAATAGTTTGTTTGGCTACATATCGGACGTAGAAAAAGCATTGTCAAATGAAACTTGCAAAGATGGCTCTTTTAATCCTGAATTAAGTATACCGCGGTCTGTTGACTGTATTGAAACACTTTTAAAGACTGGTGAAAACGTACGCATTATATTTATTTAATCAAAGAAAATCAAGTTTTGTACTTTGAAAAATAAAATAAAATCATAATACATCGTTAATATCCGCTACTCAGAAATCGGAATTAAATATGTTAGACAGTATTTGGTTTTAGATAGTTTAGTTTAATAACATGTTTTCGGTATCGATTAAAACAGAAAACAATTATTTTCTTTGGTAAATATGAAACAAAACAACTTGTTTGTATTTGTCTTTACTTCTGTTAGGCATTGATAATGATCTTCCTGTAAACGTTTACTTAATTCGTAAACGTTTAGAGCATTTAATCAAAACGTCGCTGTTTACACGTGTAATCGTTTCGCCCTTAGCCCCGTTCATGCCATCTTTGCTAGCCAAGGGTTTCTGATCCGCTATTCCTCACAAACCCTTGGCCTATGGTGCTGTCAAAAGATGGGAATGTTTACATCACATGATCTTGAATCTTACCACATATGCACAGATTGCATCATCGACAGAAATAAAAAGCGAATTTAAACATTTAAGTTTTTGGGAATAATTAACAAGAAGGTATCTAGTGACGTTTATTTGTTATTTAGGATGCAAATCTACATCTGTAATATACATTCCTGATCACATTATTTGCCCATCAACTTACGATCGGATGACACCATAGCAGCTGCTATTTATAGAATGTCATGTTTTCTTACGGATCGTTGTTTACTTGCGTTTTTCATTCCCAAGACTATAGAGTCAAGATATATCCTGAATGCAGATATTGTCATTTACAAAAAGCAATTGCTGATTGGTCAAACTATATCAATCAACTCCAATCACAACTCCCGACTTTTGACAGCACCATAGGCCAAGGGATTATGAGAAGAGTAGCGGATCAGAAACTCTTGGCTAGTGAAGATTTCATGCAAGAGAAATGAAATTTACTACAGAGTCCAATGGGCTTGTTGAGTGGGAGTAACAGATTAAAGTTCATTAAACTTGTTTTGACCAAAAAACCACCCCAAAAATAACATATACTTATCCCAGATCGGTGAAAAAGATCTGAAATCTGGGGAGAAAAATGCATTTTGCTGCTAGCAGCATTTGCTGTGACTGGTTATTTTGAAAGATAAATGGATGGGCTACTGAATATACATCACAGCTCTCCACCAGATAAGCATTATATGACAGGGAAATCAATCTGGCTTGTGTGATTTCCCTGGTGACAGTAATACTTGATACTTGTACATTCAACTGTTGAACTAGTATAATTAGACCTAATCATGCAGTATCATTCTGCTAAAAGTGTAACCAACAATTCATGAATTTAAAAAAAAAAAAACTTTCTCCTTAATTACATGTGATCTGGGGGTTTTAATGATTTGTCAATCCTCTGACAATCTCAAAACAACGTTATGCAATGACTATTAAATGCAATATTATTATAATGCATGATCAGCCTTCTACAGACATAAATCATATGTTGAACCATTTCTTAATTTTGTGCATTTTACTAACAGAGCATCATAAAATATATCTTGTTATATCATTTTATAGTTGTATATAAAAATTTTTGCTGCATGAATGCCAGAATAGTTTTTAATACACCATAATATGTGATATAAATGGTAATATTTTTTAAAATGGTTCAAGCACTTAAACAGTGGTGAAAACCAAAATCTATTTCAATTCATGATTACAGATGTCAAGTATAATTTTTTTGCACACATTAAATTTATCATGATCACATTTTCAATATGATGCAAGAACTTGGTCAAACACATGGTGATGGCTCTATTGATTTTGGTGAAATTGTGTCACTTTCTCGGTGGTTGTTTACTCATGTCTAACTCCAATTTTTAGGAATCAATAATTATTGCCAGTAACCAGTGCTTGGACTGTCCAACATCATGCACTTATCATTTCCATTTCAAATGCTCAAAAGTAGTGATATAGTTGGGTTTTTTTTAAACATGTCAAACTGTCTGCACCATGTTCTGAAGCAATGTAAAACATGTCCAGTGGCAAATTTTAATACATGCTAGAAATCATTAAGATGATGACCATCTTAAAGGCCACACTTTTAGTAAATGTACATGCATGTAATTTAACAGCTGACATGATAAAATCTGCAGAATCTTGGATCAATATCACTGAGTGCCCCTTTAGAGCAGTCTATGACTGAAGTATTAGTAGGATTTGGGCAAGGGGAGGGAAATTATGCCCCAGACAATGAATTTACAGAGAAAACTACATTGTCCTTGACATTTAATAGGTACTTAAAAAAAACTTAAAAGGTTACTGCACACCCTAAATACTTAAAAAAGCACTCTGTGTGTATAAAGTTTAATCCACATTTGGCAAATGGAAGAGACTTCAAGAGAGACATCCTTGACTTTATTGAGAGAATTACATCATTCCTTTGGAAAAGTATTTGTATATATAGTAATGACATCCTGCTTTAATAATATTACCAGTACATAGAACATGTAGAATGCATGAAAGACATGATGAAAAAGTGATGGCTGTATACATAGAATATAGACTGATAATCAAGTCAATCATTACAAAAGTCATTCCAACACTCAAAACAAATCAAACAAAAAGTCTCAACAAAAGAAATACATTGTGATTAAGCAATTTCCTCTATATTTTTTCCCTGTATTCTCTGTTTACGAAATTTCACTTTTTTCTCATAAATCTTGGAACATATATTTGAATAAAAGAAAATTAATGTAATTCTATGAAAACATATATTTTCATTTTAAATCTCTCCAATATCTGTGATCATTACATCCCTATTTCTGGTTAGTCTCTGTCATTACACAATGTTGACCATTTCTTACATCTGTCTTACATTTGTTATCAGCTAATTGTAACATGTCTGATAAGGCCACTACAACATTTCACTTCCTATTTCAGTACAACTAACTGATGTTAGTCAATTCATATACTAAACTGACATCTTTTATTTTCATTTAACTACACAGCTAGTGTACATTGAAATATATTTTCTATGTGATAATTGATGACTGCTTCCAAATTTTTCCTCTTCTTTTAATAAGTTTATTTTGATTCATTTGAACAAAAAGATTGGATTTTAGTACCGTGACAACAGTTCTTTTCTTCTGCAAAGTAGAAATATGGAATTATAGAGATACCTTTCAATTTACCAAGCATCTCTCAAATTAAAAGGCTACCGGTAAATGGAAAAGAGACTAATCAAAACTCTGTACCCATCCCCTGAGACACTGATACGAGATGTTTGACAGGTTTGTCTGAGACACTGATACAAGATGTTTGACATGTTTGTCTGAGACACTGATACGAGATGTTTGACAGGTTTGTCTGAGACACTGATACGAGATGTTTGACATGTTTGTCTGAGACACTGATACGAGATGTTTGACAGGTTTGTCTGAGACACTGATACGAGATGTTTGACAGGTTTGCCTGAGACACTGATACAAGATGTTTGACAGGTTTGTCTGAGACACTGATACGAGATGTTTGACAGGTTTGTCTGAGACACTGATACGAGATGTTTGACAGGTTTGTCTGAGACACTGATACGAGATGTTTGACAGGTTTGTCTGAGACACTGATACGAGATGTTTGACAGGTTTGTCTGAGACACTGATACGAGATGTTTGACAGGTTTGTCTGAGACACTGATACGAGATGTTTGACAGGTTTGTCTGAGACACTGATACGAGATGTTTGACAGGTTTGTCTGAGACACTGATACGAGATGTTTGACAGGTTTGTCTGAGACACTGATACGAGATGTTTGACAGGT